GGTCATGAAACTTGAAGAACTGCATCATTTTGAAATTTAATAGATGTAGATGACTTAACCAAAATGTGGTAAGTTCCCTATGGTCAGAAAATTAGGAGGAAAATCTGGAGAGTCAGGGGTCCTGAGCACCACTGGAAGAGAGTGTTTCAATAGAGAAGTCTCAGGCAGCTGACGTATCCAGATGAGGTTGAAAAGGATCCTGGATTTGACAGCAGGGAGGGCCATTTCATGGAGAGCGTGGAGGCCAGAGCCAGACATTGAAAAGGCACTGAAGAGTGCTCTGCACGTGAAGACATGAAAGGAGTGTGACCTCACCTGTGTGATGTAATAAATGATGGTCTATTGAACACAGCAAGATGGGGCATTCTTCCCCTTTGCTGTGCTGTTGTTTTTGCCTAGAGTGTTCACGCTTATTTGATTTCTTGAGTGATTCATTTATCTTTAAAATCTGGCTTGGAGTAGAGCCTTGCCTCCTTATGAGTAAGGATTTTATCTAATCAACACGTGCATTCTAAGTATCTAGCACAACAAATACTAAGATGTACTTAGGTGACAAGTAACCAATGCATTGGGTTCAGAGTCAGGCAGCCTGAATTTGAAAGCCTGTTCTCCTAGTCACTAACTCTGTGACCTTGCAAAGATTACTTATATCCCTTGTGGCTCTTTTCTCTCATAAACCAGACTGGGGGCGGGATGTTGACAGTAATGACAGTACCTAGCTCAGAGAGGCTCTGTGAGTACTACATTACATAATGCATTAAAAATACAAATGTGTCCAGCATTGCAAGCAAGCAGTAAATACTAGTCATCATACCCATGGCTTTGGGGTTATTTCTCTGAACAGTTTTCAAGTGCCTTTTGCCCTTCTCCTTCCTTCCATCTGATACACATCCCCATGGCATTTGTTGGCTGTCTTTACGTAATGTTCACTTCCTTTTTCCCAGGATTGGTCATGTCTGATGGTCAGGAATGGAAGGAGCAAAGGAGGTTCACGCTGACAACACTGAGGAACTTCGGTTTAGGAAAGAAGAGCTTAGAGGAACGCATTCAGGAAGAGGCCCGCTACCTCACCCAGGCAATAGGAGAGGAGGACGGTGAGTGTGTCACAGGACAGGTGCAGGAGACTGCGGCTCATTCCTTCACCGACCAGATGCTTAATAAGTGCCCACGTGCCTGCCCTGTGCCCAGCACTGTGTAGGGCACCGAGGGGTTAACAGTGAACAACTAACCATGACCTGCCCTCATGGAGCTGGAGAATTAGACACGAGAAGATGGGTATAGAACACATTGATTTAAATCCTGGTCATCAGTTTGAATTCCCGGCATTGACCGAGTACTTGCTATAGGTCAGACCCTGTGGAGGGTGCTGGGGCCACAGTCTCAGAGGTGGTTCTGTTCTCATTCTGTCCTGTGTCATGTAGAGTACACCCTCAGAGGAAATGGAAGGACACAAATCTGAAGGATCCATCACTTCCTCTCCCTCCAGGACAGCCTTTTGACCCAAACTTGAAAATCAAGAATGCAGTTTCCAATATTATTTGCTCCATCACATTTGGGGAGCGTTTTGACTACCAGGATGATCAGTTCCAGGAGCTGCTGAGGCTGTTGGATGAGTTCATGAGTCTGCAGACATCAATATGCTGCCAGGTGAGACGTTCTCACTTCCTACCTTGGAAAAAATATTGGGCTGATGTCAGACACAGATTTTATTTTTCTAAGCTACTACATAGCGTTTCAAAATTGCCTTTAACACAAGCATATTTGAAATTAATCTTTCGTATTTATTGTTTTAGATTTAAATGTTAAATTTAAAATTTGTACTATGGACAAAGAATGTTACTAACGTTCGGGTAAAGTACAAATTTCATATGACCTACTCCTATGCACTCAAGTTGTTTTCTTAAAAAAGCACAATGTCCCAATAGCCTTTGAGCCCCTCCTGTCCATGTTCTTCCCTAAACCCCCACCCCCATCCTCCCTCAGAAGTTCCCTTCTGTGTCTGGTGCTCCCTGTCCAACGGATTTGATTCATACGTTAGATGCTCTTGTTTTTAAATTCTGCTTAGTTTTCTATTGTGTGACTATGCCACTGTTTATTATTCGATTCTCTACTGGTGGACGCTTGGGTGACTTCCAGTCTGGGGATGTTGGGACTAAAGCTGCCGTGAACATTCTTGTTTAGTTCATATGGACCCATCTTCCTGTTTCCCTTACATTTACACCTGGATGCAAAAAGTACTTAAAATTGTCCCCGTTGGCTGCACTACTTACATGCCCACCGACTCTTGATATGGTCAATCATCCAGTTTTGTCAGGTATTGATGTAGGGGGTTCAAACCTAACCCCTTCCTTCGTGGGCCCTGCCCTCCTCCCCTGTACTGCTGGGCCTGTGATTCTGTCAGTAACTCTCTCTGCTCAGCTTCTTGGTCTCTCAGCCTCTTTTCTGGATTTGAAAGACACTTTGATGGAAAATCAGCCCTAAGTGTTGAGGTCACCTCTCTGGTGTCTAGAAGAGTATTTGCTGTTATTTATTCCTGACAAGCATCTTTGCATTGAGCTTTGGACCCATCACACCAAAGGTGGTAAATCAGTTCCGTGTGATTCCTGGCACATTAAAGGGGCCTAATGAATGTGGGCTCTTATGATTATTGTCAATGTTATTTTTGAATCATATTCCCTTTTCTCTCTTCTAATCAAGGTAGTCCCCCATTCAGCAATTCCATTTCTTCTTCTTAAAACAGAGCCAAGGAAGTCATTAGAGTTCACTGGGTACCCAGCTGAGTGCTTGCAGGGAAGAGGAATTCCCAGGAGGGTAGGATGGGGCAGCAGGGCAGGGGTAGAAGGATTTCTTAGAGACACAGAAGAGACCAGGCACATTGATGGACAACTAGACGCACATTATCTATGCTGATTTTTTATACCACTTCTTTAAAGGTGAAATGAAGCATCTTGATGTGAGCAAGCAGGTAAGGGAGTATGTAAGCAAATCCACACAGTGTCCACTACTCTGTGTTAAGTGGGAGTGGAATCTCATGCCATTAGTCAGAAAATAACCCTTGGGCCTGACTGGCAGATAGATTAAGTAGTGACAAATCACAACATTATTACTATTATCAGAAAAGAATTATACCTAAAAAGAAAATTCTTGCCAGTTCATTTTAAATCTAGCCCACTTTCCATTATGTTATACTATCTCTTTTACCAGATATTATTAGAGAAAATACCTTTAAAAACCACTTCATTTCAGTATAAAATTTCTTACAACAAGGAAATTACATCACAGTGGGGGCAGGCAAATAAACAGATATATGTCTTTAACATAGATACATACAGAGACACATGACAGATGGACATGTTTTACACAAACACAAGTATATATACACCAACACAACTAGTGATAACTGCCAAGAACTAAAATAAAACAAAATAAAAGAATGGAAGGAGGGTGCAGAAGTTCTGCTAATTATAGGATCATCAGGCAAGACAGGTCCAAGGAGGTGACCTTTGAGCAGCACCTTAATGAAGGAAGGGGCTGAGTTATGCAGATTTCAGAGGAAGACCATTCCAGGTGGAAGGAACAGCAAATGCAAAGACCTAGACAAGGACATCCTGGGTGTTACCACAGAGGCCAGTGGGGCTGCACTTTAAAGAGTAAGAGAGAGGAAGATGGTGGGGAGGGTAGCAGAGGAGGAGACAGGAATGTGAGGGGCCAGTTCATGGAGAGCTACAGGCCAGGAGAATGAGGTTGGATTTTTTTCTAGTCATGGAAAGTCACTGGAGGATTGAGAGCCAGAAAGTGAAATGATCAATTAAACTGTTAAATGATCCCCCTGGGAGCTCAATGGATAATTGATTGGGAATGAAGTGAAGGATGGAATCAGGAAAACTGTTGGAGGCTCTTACAGCATCCAGGTAGGAAATGCTGGTGGATTGTACAAGGATGACAAAGTAATTGGAGTGGTGAGAAGTCATCTGACACTGGTTATATTGTGGATAGAGCTCTGACATGCTTGGCCAGAGGGTAAGAAGAGGAATGAGAGAGATAAAAAAAACTGGAGGGTGACCCAAGGGTTAAGTGTAAACAGGAAAAAGATGTAAAGAGCAGATGGTTACATTGTGTTAGGAAGTCAAAAACTGGCAGCACCTTGTCTCCATAATTCTTTTTTGTTTGTTTTTCTCAATCAGTTTTACAATATCTTTCCACGGATAATGAACTTCCTCCCTGGACCCCACCAAAGGCTTTTTCGTAACTGGGAGAAACTGAAAATGTTTGTTGCCCATGTGATTGAAAACCACAAGAGAGACTGGAATCCTGCTGAAGCAAGAGACTTCATTGATGCTTACCTCCAGGAAATAGAGAAGGTGAGGAATCCAGAGTTGTTTCTGGAATTCTGTTCTTAAAGAGCAAATGAGGTGATTTGATTGTCCTATTGCTGCTATAACAAATTACCATAAACTTGGGGGCTTATAAGAACATAGTTTATTGTCTTATACTTTGAAACATTACAAGTCTGAAACCAACTTCACTGGGCCAATGTCAGGGTCATGCAGGGCTAGCTTCTCTGGAGGCTCAGGGGAAAATCTATTTTCTTGACTTTTCCAGCCTGTAGGGGCTGCCTGTATCCCTTGATTCACGGCCCTTCCTCCATCTTCAGAGTCATCAATGTAGCACCTTCTTTGCCACCAACGTTACATCTCCTTTTTATGATCATCTTGCTCCCCTCTTATAAAGACTGCTGTGAATATATTGGGCCCTGTGGGTTGACCCAGGATCATCTTCCTATATCAATATCTTTAATGTAATCATATCTACAAAGTCCCTTCTGCCACATAAGCTACCATCCCTGGATTCCAGAAATCAGATTGTGGACATCTAAGTGGGTCTTTATTCAGCCCAGTGCAAGGAGAAAATTAGAGACAGTATTTCAGACAGTGAAAGAATATCATTAACTCTGAATTGATGAGACATTTAGAAATAAAGATAGAAGTCAATTATACTCAAATAGAAAAAAAGAATTTCATTCACAGATTGTTAAATTAAACATTTAAAACAATTTTAAAGAAGTGTAGAAGTTTAATGGTTTTTAGCTCTAGGCCTTTGAAACCTCAAATACTGAAGGTCATAATGTGTTCTCAACCCTCTACCTATCTATGAAGGAAATACACACAAAAGGAGAAATTAGTATAGTTTCATTATAGTTGGACCAGTGCCCAGCTTCCTACCACTTCCCTCAGCCCCCCAGGTCAGAACACAAGTAAAGCTGAGTCTGATGCCAGAGTTTAGACACAAGTGGGAGGGACCTTCCCTTCCTCCCTTGTCCCCGTGTCATCCACGTCCCTACATTATAGGAAAGAAAGAGGAAAAAGCCAAGTTGGATGTATAGCTTTTCATGTGGTATCCCTTCTGGATAATACACATCACTGCATCCCTGTCATCATCTATGAATCATCGGATTATTTATTCCTCTCCTGGAGTTGACAGAGTGGTGGATTTCCTTCCATCTCCTCTCTTATTTCTCCTTATTGGCACAGCATTCCTGGAAGCATTGGTTCTCCTCAGAGGAAGAGACTCCACCTGCTGTAAGGTGTGCAGGTGTGGGACCACACACAGAGGAATGTTGACACAGTTAAGCTTCTGGAGGAAGGTGGTAAAGATGCTGGAGAACCATGAGGAAAGGCTGTTGGAATTAGAGACTTAACCTACAAAGGAAAAGACTAATGGGGGAAAATGAGAATTATTGTACATTAGAGATACCCAGTTCATTTTTTCTGGTATCAGTACAGACACCTTTTCAGTAATTGCTACGTACCCTATATATCTCACATAATTCATGATGCTATTGTAATGGCTGAATGTTGTTAGTTCTGTTTTATGAATCAGAAGACTGAAGCACAGAGAGGTTTATTAACTTTCTCAAACTACACAGATAGTGAATGATGTGGTTAGTATTGGAGCCCCTGGCTATTTTTCCAGGGTACTAACAGGTTCTTCCAAGTTCTGGGCATAAAAAAATAATTAGTCATCTTGATTTTCATCCACCAAAGGTAAC